GTTATGTGTAAATGTTTCAGTCCATTAGAGTTTTTTAACACCAAATACAGTAAAATGTTACTTTCTTAAACTCTCTCCCTAAGGCAACAGGTCCACTTTGTAACAACAGTTGGCATTTCTTTTCCATAAATAACTCACTTAAAACAAATCATTTTGGTCGAATTATTAGGAGAAAAACTAAATTTGGATTCTATCGTTGTCTTTCAGTTGTATTTCTCCACTACTCACCAGCGGAATAGTTGCATTTGCATACATGGTAACAGTGTGGTGGCAGCATAGGCGGAGGGGAAACTGGGACAGAGTTGCTCATGACGTGGGACATTGTACTTGTAACATTCATAATGTCAGCAGTGTAATATTCATTGACCGACCCATTGACTGACCAATGGATTGAATGAGTGACCGTAGAAAAGTTTCCTTTAGACATGGAGTAACTCACTGAAAAAAAGGACAAGTTTATCAGTTCGGATAGAGTTCTCCAGATTTCCATTCTTAAGTGGAATCCTGCTTGAACTCATTTACCTCATAAAAAGTCCTTACGTGGAGTCATACACCTCATACACAGTCCCTACATGGAGTCATACACCTCATAAAAAGAAGGATTTGTTGAAGTATCACTCGTTTTCCCACCCTTTTGTGATCGGCCGCTGGAGACCGCGGGCTTCGATACTTTTTTTTTTCTGTAGCGGCCATCTTAGATTTGTTATGTTTTGAGCTCAAAAGAAATAATTTTATTTGACGACTTATTTGTTCTGCTATTGAGTATACATCTCATGGCCGTAACTTGAAATTTTTTACTAGGGGGCAGGAGAATCAATAAAGCGAGAGCTATAGTTTCTTCGCCGGAGCTCTTGGAATTTGGATCTCTCCCCAGTCCCCAGATTCGTTCAAAATTTTCAATCAAGGATGCGTGGGTCTTGCAAATGACTCGAAAACTAAAATGAACTACGAAAGGAGGATTTTCCTTGTAATTGCTTTGCTTTTGTTTGTCATTTCGTGAAGACGAACCTTTTGATAGCGAAAAGTTCGAAAGATGATATAAAATAAAGGAAGAGACTGAAAGATATGACAAAAATTTCTTCGAATATTTCTGCCCCACTAGCAGCCACGGCCTTGCACCTTACGGCTGCAAAGGATTATTTGTCCAGGAAATAGCGTGGGAGATTGTACTAGGTATTCGATATGTTCGTTTCTCGAAAGTTCTGCATTCCCGCAATAACTTTACGGACTGAGTGCGAGTCTTATCTCAGCACCAGTCCATCCCCCTTTCTTTTGTGCGAGATCTTTATATTTTGAGTTTCAGATCTGTTAAAATCTCGACATAGAAAGAAAATCTGCTTTTCAAGCCCTTTAAAGCAGTTTTTCCAGAAACGGGCATTTGAACACTGGGTTTTTTTAACGCCGTGTTGTCATTTTATAAGGGTTTAGTTTGAGCACTAATTGGAAGACACTTCTTGGAGACGATTTCAAATTTGTTTATGAGCCACGTTGCCATGCTAGCCACCTGTAAAACGGATTCCCTGGGATGTCCTTCATTTCCAGGCGAGATTCGATGGAAGCCTCGAACGAAATTATTCCAACGCGTTAAAAATTAATATGCTACAAAACTGTATTTTGTTTGAAATGTTTTTCATTCTTCGCTAGGCATTTGAGTTCATTCTTGATAATTCGCACTACAATTTTGTTCGTTTTCTTCAGAAAATGTAGCCAGTACAGCGCTTTTCCATGTGATGGATCAGAGTTCCGTGATTACTTTGACTTGTCAAGAAGGTGCTTCTCAGAATACTTTGCATATTTTAAAGTATTACCACCTCATAAATTTTCTGTTTCTTTGTTTTCCTCTGAAACCATAACAAAGTCATAAGAAGGCGGTCTAAGAATGGTCGTCATCTGACAACTTCTGGAGCCAAATTACAGCGGCAATTAGAGAAGCAACCCCGGTGTAATAAAAATGGGAATACTTTTTGAACAAGAACCGATTACTTGCTGGAGCACCGCGTGGTAGATTCAAGGGCGATGCTTCTTCGAATTGATTCGGTACTTTAGAGAACTTAGTTTCATTACATACTGTTTGTCAGCACAATTTTACCTTTGAAATTAGGATTATTTCAACCTCTAGTGAATTCACAGCTGGCCTTTCATTTCTTTCATTATTGCTCAGGAGGTAGTAAATGCCAATTTATTGTGTAAGTTCTCGTCAATCCAAGTTTGAGTTTCATCATGGCAAAGTATCAAATTCATTTTATTTCTTTGCTTTATGTGAGGAGAAGTGGTAGTTTAAAGTCTGGTTGAAATTCTTGTCGTCCATTTTAATCGGTATTATCCACGAGCTTGGCTGGGTTGAAACCGAGTGCAAGGAAATACTTTCTTTAAAGATTTATGGAATAAAATAAGAGAAAACGCTCACAATTTCAAGGTGGCGGTATAGAGTTGGGTGACGATTCAGAAACGTTTTTTTAAACTCCACAATTACTCCTCTGAAAGCAGTATAGAAAAGATTTGTAAATTCCAAGTGTCTAAAACAGATTTCGAAGCGAATTAAATGAATGCCGATATCTCTTGTATTTCTAGCCATGGCTTTATGTGACACCTATTTGTCAGAAACTAGCGGATTTGGTTCAAACTGGAGAGCTTTTCATCGCGACATAACGTTTGCGTCTCGCAATAGTTTACTTCGCATTACTTATTGATATGCTATCCATATTCATTAAAAATTCTGCGTTGCCAAGGTAGTCCAAATGTTGCCAAACCTTTATTGAGATTTGTGCAAATATGAAAGCGAATCTGTCAAACTTTAATTTAAATAAGGTCAGCAATTTTCAATCTTTGTACAAACATATCTTATCAAACCATTGAATGCTTCAGCCTTTTACCCATAGATGATGACACAAAAATTGTCAGACAGTCGCTTGCGTTATGAAACTTTTGTTCTTGACATGACATGAAATGATGATTAAATTCTGTCCACGTACCTTGAGTGAAAAATCATGGTATGGATGTAAAATATCTTACCACGGGCCAATTTCTTTTAACACTTAATTAATTTTCAATAGTATAAGCAAATGTTGAGATTCGAAAAAGGATTTTGCGAAAGGCGAGGGCATCCGAATTGTAGTAAATTATTTAACTTACCGAGCAGTTGTAAGAACTTGGTCACGCGTATCTTTTGCATTTTTCTTTTTTT